CGCCCCCGGGGCCCTTATCGCTGCTCGCCACGCCACGCCACGCCACGCCACGCCGATCAGATACTCCCTAACCTAATCACAAGCTGAATTTGAATCGCAATGCGGTTTTGTCTTGAATCGGCGGCGGCAGCGCCCAGGCTCATTATTGGCTGAGCCACTAAAGAATAGAAAAGTAAAATAAATCTATCTTAGGCGAAGCCAAGGGATCGACGGTGAGGGGGCCGACAGAAACCTGGCACTCATCTAGATCCATTCCGGGCTGACCAACACTACAATGATAAAATTAGCAAAAGAAAAACTACATAAAAAATACCCAAAACTGAGTTTACAACATATTTCAAGAATTAAAAGGGTTATTTAATACAAGAATGTACGGCTTTATCGTTCCTTTTCGATAAAACAACACTTCAAACAAACAAGACTCGTATAATTTTGTATTACATGTTGCCGAAACGTTTGTTTGTCACTAATGTTTGAACCGCGATTGGGCGGGCTTGAAAAAGCAGAAGAGCAAATGCGAAATGGCGAAACCATGTAACGTTTTCAACAAAATCATTTTCATTCTTTGTTTCAACCCCATGCATTCAGCACTTCGAGAAAAGAATAAAAACCGCTATTAAAGGTATTTCTTTTTGTAGGTTAATGCTGCTTTGTTTTGGTTCCCACCACGTTCCGCCACTCTGGGCAAGTCGAGTACCGGTAGTATATTCCCCAAATCCCCTCAAATCTTTTCAAATCCTTCCCAATCTTTCGAATCCCTCCACCCACATTCCAAAATTCCTTCAAAATGTCCTCAAATTTCCCAGAAACCATCTAGCGATCACTCCTATCTCGCCCAAATTATCTCTTATCCTCGACAATCTTCACCAATTCCTAATTAATTTTAATTTGTCAAATTTGGGCTCAAATCCATGCTTATCCCAAAATCCCGCAATCCCTTCAAATCTTTTTCCATTCTTCAGAATCCGTTTACAATTTTCCTAACATATCCAGATTTTTTGAAAAATTATATCATCTGTCAGGATTGCAATCTTTGCAGTTATGTATCTCTCATTCAAGTTCAACTTCTATTCTATGATCAGAAACCCATTCCTATTTGGCGAAGCCTAGATCTTTCAGATCCACCTAGTTAAATACTGGCGGGCCCGCCGCCGCCGCCACCGCCGCTCCCGACGGGGCGCGCCACTTCACTTTCCCGCCACTGCCGCTACATTATTCAAACGAGCCTCGGCTGCAACAACAGCATTCTGATAATGTGGCTACAACCGTGCGCGCGCCGGGCAAAATAATAATAATATGGGAACCTACAGATAATACAATGGCAAGTAAAAGCGGTGACATCGGAGACAGCCGCCTTTGTTTTCCGCCGAAAACCCTCTGGCCATCACGGCACTCTGCAACTGCCAGCCATCGGTTGCGGCTGCGGTAGCAGCTGTAGTTCCTCCTCGTCCGTCGCCTGGCTACGTTCGACCTCGTTGGCTCGGGAGTTTGAAGTTCAAAGTTCATAGCATTTAAAAGTGTGTCGTGTTTCGAGAAGAGTGGAGTCGACTGCTCAGCGGCTTGCCTTTCTGTTATTCTCTGAGAGTGGAAATTATTGCGGGAAGTGTGACAACTGTGAGTCAGCCGGCCTCCTAACCTCCGCGCGCGGCAGTCAGTCCCGTCAGCGTCAGCCAACTGCAGCCACGAGCCACACGAGCGCTCCGCCGCCGGTGGATGGCAGCAGGCAGCCAGCCTGTTGCAGTTTTATAACTTTGTGTTTGAGTGTTGGTCTGCAGTGGAGGAGCTGCGGCCTCAGGCCTGTGCGCGAGTGAATAGAGTCGAGTCGCGATCTTCTCAACTTTCCGCTGCCGATACGTGTATTCGAATCGAAATTCACACAGCTTTCGTTCGACTTTATCGGCGGCCGTCTCGCCAAGGAAGGGGGCGGCGAACCATTGCCTACTGCACCGTCGACCTCTGAAAAGGTAAGTTGTGTATCCCGACATCATCTGCCTATCTTGTCACCCCGATAAATGACCTGTTTTACAAAAATTAAAAGAGGACGAATGAATGTCGTCTGCCTCCGTACCGGACCATCACAAAGCCTCGGTCTGCCAGACGTAGGTATCCTTTCTGAAGCCGGACACGAGAGTGTGTTTTTCTCTAGGGCTTTTCGATGATCCCGGAAAGAACCACATTTCTCGTTTTCTTTTTCGTAACAAATCTTAGTCTTTTTGTTTGTTTCACATCCTACGAACAATAGAAAGACAATTACTTTACTAAAGCTCAACGGACCATTGTAACATTTTGATAGATCGAAACCGGTTGGGGATGTCCTATGTGGAAAAATATGACGGGATGTTTTTCTTTTCTTCGGCCATAACATCCCCGGCCCTTCCTAACCTCTCGGTTACCTCGTCATCCTAGGTCGCCCGGGGCGACATCTTCCCACGCCGCCGCGCCGCCGGGGGAAGCGCTTTCCTCTTGCCCCAACTCACACCACACCGCCCCGCCCGCCTCGCCCCGCCAAGCCGCGTCGGGGAGTGAGGGAATGTCCTTGGAGCCCGCGGGCTCCCACATGTCGGGGTGCTTCGTTTAACGGGCCATTATCACTCGCCGGATAGAGGCCCTGGTCCCGCGGGGCGGGGCGAAGCGGGGCGGCGGGCCCGGAGGCTGCGCGAGGTGAGGTGATCCAGG